AATCTACCCATATAACTAAACCTGACCTAAACCAATCTTAAACCTACCCATATCACTAAACCTGACCTAAACCAATCCTAAATCTACCCATATCACTAAACCTGATCTAAACCAATCTTAAATCTACCCATATCGCTAAACCAACTTAACATTAACCAACCTTAAACCTACCCAAACCACTAAACCTGACATTAACCTTAACCAACCTTAAACCTTGCCATGTCACTTAATCTGACCTTTATCACTGAGTCTAACTTAAACCAATCTTAAACCTACCCATATCACTAAACCTGACCTTAACCTTTACCAATCTTAAACCTACCCATATCACTAAACCTGACCTTAACCTTAACCAATCTTAAACCTACCCATATCACTAAACCTGACCTTAACCTTAACCAATCTTAAACCTACCCATATCACTAAACCTGACCTAAACCAATCCTAAATCTACCCATATAACTAAACCTGACCTAAACCAATCCTAAATCTACCCATATAACTAAACCTGACCTAAACCAATCTTAAACCTACCCATATCACTAAACCTGACCTTAACCTTACCAATCTTAAACCTACCCATACCATTAAACCTGACCTTAACCAACCTTAACGAACTCATATTGCTAAACCTGACCTTAATCTTAACTAACCTTAAATTTATCCACACCACTAAACCTGACCTTAACCAATCTTAAACATACCCATATCACTAAACCTGACCTAAACCAATATTAAATCTACCCATATAACTAAACCTGACCTAAACCAATCCTAAATCTACCCATATCACTAAACCTGACCTAAACCAATCTTAAACCTACCCATATCACTAAACTTGACCTTAACCTTACCAATCTTAAACCTACCCATAACATTAAACCTGACCTTAACTAACCTTAACGAACTCATATTGCTAAACCTGACCTTAATCTTAACTAACCTTAAATTTATCCACTCCACTAAACCTGACCTTAACCAATCTTAAACATACCCATATCACTAAACCTGACCTTAACCTTATATAATCTTAAACCTACCCAAAACAATAAACCTGACCTTAACCTTAACCAATTTTAAACCTACCCATACCAATAAACCTGACCTTAACCAACCTTAATGAACCCATATCACTAAACCTGTCATTAAGCTTAATTAACACTTAACCTAGCCAGACCACTAACCTTGTCCCTACCTTAACCTGGCAAGGTAATAAAGTGAGACTAGATCAATTATATTTTATAGTTTATTATTCACACAGGGATAATAGTTTTGCATTATGGGATGCAGTATTCTGTAAACACAGTAGCTTTGCACAGTTTTGTATCCAGAACTACAGGATCAGCATGTGGAGGTGTTGTGTGTGTGTGTGTGTGTGTTTCTTCTAGACTGAGACTCAGCAGAGATCAATGCTGGACCACATCAGGCTCACTGACCCCCTCTGCTGGAGAGCGACACATCCCACAATGCACCACAGGCAGAGGTCAAGCAATCCTGTCAAATCACATTGTGCTAATGTTCAGACACTTACATTACATATTTAGTGTTCTTAACACCATGACATATACCTAGTTAAACAGGTAGCACTTGACAATAAGATTGTCTATGTTAACAATATTTTAATTCAATTATTTTGCTTTAATTTGATCAAAACAATTAATTTTGATTTAATTTTATCGCCGGTTTGGTCCCTATAAACAACACCTTAAAATTTCTGATTTTGACTGTAATGTAATGTAACGATGTGCCCTTTAAAGCCAATTCAGAACAATTATTATTGCCAAACTCTCTATACAAAAAAACTCAAACTGAATTGATTATAACTTTAGTATGCTCATCAGCCAATCAGAATCATTCAACAGCCCCATACAATAAACAAATCTAATTCGATGAGTAGCATGATGATTTCAGAGATGTGTCAGATGTTTTAGTAGCAGTGATACAGTGTGATTGAGCTCTTCTCACCTGTACTGATCGCACCTGAGCTCGTCACACTCACTGCACTCATTACCTGAACCTCCACTCGACCCGCGGCACCCGCAGGCCATTCATCACCCTCAAGCAGACAAATACTGCATGCGGAGCTGCAGACGAATAAGCAGACGCTCAGTGACAGGAGCTTGGGGAGAACATCACCGACATCATTCACACCTCAGAGACCCGCAGAGCTGAAACACACTTCTATGTGTATGGTGAACATGCATACTGTGTGTGTGTGTGTGTGTGGGACCGGATTACAGAAATATGAACTCTTATAACTATTATTTTTTTATTAATGAGAGATGCATGATCTAGTCGAATGTGAAATGGTTAATATTATAATATATAATAATTCAAAACAAATACAGTACAGTGCAAATGTGTTAGGCTTAACATTTAATCTGTTGTTTTACTTATGGTAATATAGTTATATATGTGACCCTTCACCACAAAACCAGTCATAAGTGTACATTTTTTGTCATTATTTGAACATTTTTTGATGTAGACAGTGTGAATAAATGAACTTTCAGCTGATGAATGGTTTGTTAGGCCAGGAGTTGGCTTAGAATTTTAATTATTTTGGTTTAATAGTTTCAGACAATGTTGGAGAGAGGCTGTTTGTCCTGGTTTGAGCTCTATTTCTAGCCGTGTTGTTAGCAATATTGTCTAAATTGTGAATGTTAAAAAGTACATATAGGTTTTAATCCTTTATGCTATTACTTCTGGTAATAGTTTTAATTTTCAGTATAATAATGATCCGCTGATTGTAGTGAAATGCTGTTTGGAGACCGAAAACAGCTGATGAAACACAGGCAGTCATGAAATGGCCTACACAGTGTCCAGAGCTGAATATTATCGAGTCTGTATGAGATCATCTGGATAGAAAAAGAAAGATATTACGCTTTAAACCTAAAGAAGAACTCTGGAAAGTGCTGAAAGTAGCCTGATATTATTATTACACAGCACATTAGTTTAGAAAATGTCAGGACAATTAGAACAAAAGGTGCCAAGAGCCAAAGCCACATTAAACACAGACTCTTGCTTGAAGAGGAAATGTTGTGCTGTTGTTGTTTTTTGTTCATATTTCTTATATTTTCTGTTTGTTTTGAATAAAGAGTCTGATTGATTATATTTTGTGCAAAAGTCTTAGGCCAACAAAGCTGGTATAGTAATTAGGACGTTTGCACGGTATGTTTCATTATTTATATCTCTATCAAATGGCATGTGAAATACAAATAGGTCAGTGTTTGTTATGGTTCACATCTGACAAATAAAGAAGAAAATGCAATGCGTTGGTAACCATAACTATGACATTAAAAGTCAAGATTTGACATAGTTATTAACGTGTATATGTAATGTATATCTGTAAAAAAACATAATATCCTGATGGAAAATTAAAAGTTAAAAATTAACTGATTATGACATGTCCTTAATTAATAGATTGTGTTTATTTATTTATTGCTTTTTAATTTATTTATTATTAAATTAAATCAACATCAATTTAAAATGTAACAAAAAAAGACAAAACTGTAAATATGTGGATAAAATTCAGTTTTTTTTTTTAAATTCATTTTTCTACTGGTTTTTTTCTCAGTGTGTGATGAAAAAGTATTGGTTTGGTCATAATTATGACTTTTATCTTTCAATTTTGACCTTTTGCCATATTCTCACATTTTTATGACATAACTATAAGTTTAAGTCTTATTAAAACCTACACTGTAAAATAGTTAACCTAATATACATATATATATATATATATATATATATATATATATATATATATATATATATATATATATATATATATATATATAGTTGAAGCCAGAATTATTAGCCCCCCGTGTTTTTTCCCCAATTTCTGTTTAAGATTTGTTCAACTCATTTCTAATCATAATAGTTTTAATAACTCATTTCTAATAACTGATTTATTTTATCTTTGCCATGATGACAGTAAATAATATTAGACTAGATATTCTTGTAGGCGACGCAGTGGCTAAGTGGTTAGCACTGTCACCTCACAACAAGAAGGTCGCTGGTTCGAGTCGGCTGGACCAGTTGGCATTTCTGTGACTGTGTGGAGTTTGCATGTTTTCCCCATGTTGGAGTGGGTTTTCTCTGGGTGCCCCGGTTTCCCCCACAGTCCAAACACATGCGCTATAGAGGAATTAATTAACTAAATTAGCTGTAGTGTATGAGTGTGTCTGTGAATAAGAGTGTATGGGTGTTTCCCAGTACTGGGTTGCGGCTGGAAGGGCATCCGCTGTGTAAAACATAAGCTGGATCATTCCGCTGTGGCTCCTCTGATAAATAAGGGACTAAGCCGAAGGAAAATGAATGAATGAATGAATGAATATGATAAGTGGATTTTATTTAGAATAAATATCATCAGTAATTTTCTGCGCTGTTGTTATCTTTAAATACTATCAATTATTAAATCTTCTTTGCTCTAAATGTTCAAATAAAGCGTTATTTACATTATATACAGATATCACATTATTCAAAGTTTTATATTTCTCGGATGATGGATTGTCAACGATCACTTTTAAATAAAGCTCGAAAGCAACAACGACCTTGCTATGACGTTACACTTACATCCGGGGCGTTACGCGGTAAAGTCTAGAGGGGATACAGCTGCGGATACTCACATCGATATAGCAAAATTTGTGTGAAACTGTACAACAATAATTCATATTCTGACATTACTCTGAAGGTTAAATTTAGGGTTTGGCTAGAGGTATACTTTAATAAAATACAATTTAATAGTTAATATAATAAATAATGTGAATAATACACGGTATATTTACAGTTTTTACATTACTGTGAGGGTTGGGTTTAGGGGTAGACGTTAATAAAATACAGTTTAATGGGTAATATACTAAATAATGTAAATAATACGCGGTATAATTACTGTTTTTTTACATTACAGTGAGGGTTGAGTTTAGGAGTAGACGCTAATAAAATACAAAAATATAAACAATTCTCGTTAACTTCCTGCCACAGCTGTATCCCTTCTTTGACCTGAGTCAGTTGTGCGCACGCGCAGTTCAGCCGGTGGTTCGACCTCTGCTTTCGGTGAGTTAAACATGGACGCTAGTTTTCATTCAGGATTTAAAAATCCACCTTCATCCTCTGTTTGTATGGGCGCAGAGATGCGGGTTTAAGCCGGACGGTGTTAGCAGATTATTTCAATGTCGTCGACCTGCAGTATTTGTAAAGCTCTTCACAGAAATCCTTTCTGACCTTAACGTTACATATATGTTTTGTGTTTGCAGAAGTCCCGGGCCGCTCACAAACTCACTCATATTTCAAGATGTTCACCTGCGCAAAGTTCGTCTCCACACCTGCCCTGGTGAGTGATGTTTGATCAAATAAACACTGTTATTGTGCTTAAAGGACGAGTTTTCATTACAAGACGCCGCCGTTTGGCCTGCAGCCGGTTCAGTTTGACGTCAGTAATTCGTTCGTTTTTTTTAACGGACGGCTTCTTTTTAAAATTTGAATTGTTAACAAGAATACAATATTAACGGTACAAAGATGTATAACGTAATAACCGTATAAACTCCTCAGTAATAACAAAAATAGCGAACAAAACAAACAAGAAAAGAGGGGGGAAAGTGCTAGGGCTGTTAAAAAGTAAATACAATTTAAAGGTAACGTTAGCTCAAAAAGCGTTATGTCACAGGGAATTAGTTGTTGTTAAAAAAATCCATTCATGATTGACTGGTTTAATAGGGTTAACGCTGACATCAGGCGCTGTATTCACCTTTGACCTTTTTGCTTTAGTTTTGAAATATTTGGCCCCACAAAGTAACAAAAAGCCGTGATATCATAATATAGGAGTGAGGGGACTTGAAACCATAGCCATTTTTTAGGTGTGTATGCATTTAGAATAATAAATTATATTATAATATTAATCGATTAATTGGATGAAAAAAGAAAACAAGCATTCATTTCCAACCCTTTTATTAAAAAAATCATCCCTGAGCTGTTATAATAATAACAAAATATAAGCTAAGTAATTAGCTAGGTCAGTTGGCCTTTGACATGGCATTTTCCAGGCCTGGAAAAGTTTTGGGAAAAACCAACACAGTTTTGGAAAAGTCATGGAAAACAGATATTTGTATACTTGAATATAGGTTAGTTGTGTTTACTTTTTTCTGTCCTTGGCCAATCACATACTCTCACATTATTAGTTCGGTGTAAGCATTATCTAAATAATTTTTTTTAATATATAGATATAAATATATATTGGGCGTCACAGTGGCGCTTAATCGCCTTACAGCAAGAAGGTCGCTGGTTCGAGCCTCGGCTGGGCTAGTTGGCATTTCTGTTTAGAGTTTGCATGTTCTCCCCATGTTGGCGTGGGTTCCCTCCGTGTGCTCCGGTTTCCCACACAGTCCAAACACATGCGCAATAGGGGAATTGGGTAGGCTAAATTGTCTGTAGTGTATGAGTGTTAATGAGTGCGTATGGATGTTTCCCAGTGATGGGTTACAGCTGGAAGGGCATCCGCTGCGTAATACATATGCTGGATAAGTTTGCGATTCTTTCCGCTTTGGCTCCTCTGATAAATAAGGGACTTAGCCGAAGGAGAATGAATGAATGAATATGATATATGGATTTTATTTGGATGAAATATCATCAGTAATTTTTGACCCCGGATAAATAAAGGGACTAAGCCGAAAAGAAAATTAATGAATAAATGTAAATTGAAACTTGCGTGTTTTACAATATACTGTAATAAATTTAAATATGTATTGTTTCTTACGCATATGTAGACATTGCATGAAACATTAGGTCATGAAAATTGGCTTGAAAGTCTTGGAAAAATCATGGGAAAGTCATGAAATTTTAATAGTAAAAATGTGTATGAACCCTTTATATGTGTGTGTATATCATATACATTTAATATATTTCTGATATACATAAAATTTGTTGTGTAGTTTTGTTTTTACATATATGTTTACCTAATTGGTATACAGTAGTCCCTTGTTAATAATCGTGGGAGTTACATTCTAAAAATACCCTACAATAGGCGAAATCCACTAAGTAGTCCGCTTTATTTTTTACAATTATTATATTATTATAAATGTTTAGAGGCTGTAAAACCCCTCACCATGCTTATTATCGTTTTCTTAGACAGGCATTAACAATTTCCCACTTTTCTCCCTCTTTTTTTTAACACTTATGTTTTTGCTCCTTTGCTCCTTTATCTAATGAACCAAACATTCATTTGTTTCCGTGATGGTGCCCTACAGCTGCATAACTTCAACCTTTCTTTAGCATGTCCAGAAGCTCAACTTATTGTGCAATGGTTAGCATCTTCCTCTGCCTTTTGGTTGCTCCCCCAGGTGCTTTTGACGGTGCAGAATGATCCATCAACATTATGAGGAGAAAACTTGCATTCATACAGTTCAGCACTTCAGTCACTTTGCTAGTGATTGAGGATTTATGTCAATTTGGCAACCTGAATGCATTCTGTACTGTGCAATATGCACGGCATGAAGGAGATTGATTGACCATAGTCTACAGCCAATCAGGACACAGAACACAATGCACCGTAAAAAAAAAATCATGTCAATTTCCACACTAAAAAATTGGTAAAAATGCGAAACCACGAAAGGTGAACCGTGTTGTAGTGAGGAACCACTGTAATTATATAAAACTTATAACTAAAATAATAACTTTTGTGAACATCTTATAAATATATAACTTTTTAGAACATTTCTATCGTCATTCTACTATAATCCATTGATGTTTTTGTGTGTGTTTCAGGTGCGTGCAGGCTCCAGGTCCGTGTACAGGCCAGTTTCTGCTGCTGTGCTTTCCAGACCAGAGGCCAAACCTGAGGTGATTTGTCTAAATTATAAGAATAATATTAATTATAAAATATAGTGCTTCCCACGGTTTTGAAATATTCTTGTGGTGGAGGCCAAATTGAATCCATGACATAAATATTAATACGACACAAAAAATTATTACATGTTACTGTTCAAGTTGCTGTATTGGAATGACATTTTGTATTTCCAGAGAGTTTCAGATGTGTATAAACTATATATATATATATATATATATATATATATATATATATATATATATAGCAAATGAGAAATAAAGGACAGAACATTGAATAGAAATAGACCATTTATTTTAGGGTGAACTGTCTCTTTAAGGGTCAGTAGGTGGCAGTGTGAAGGTTCAGGTCATATATCTTCTGTTGTCCTCCTGTAGGTCAGTACCGCTGCTATCCTGCAGTCTCCGGTCGCTCAGATGGCTCTCCGAAGCTTTCAGACCAGCGCTGTGAGCCGCGACATCGACACTGCTGCTAAGTTCATCGGAGCTGGAGCTGCTACTGTGGGAGTTGCGGGATCCGGTGCTGGAATCGGTACCGTGTTCGGCAGCCTCATCATTGGATACGCCAGGTAAGATTCATTAAATTAGAGCTGTGCAATATATCGGAAAAATCATATTCATTATCATCATCAGTTAATACTAGTATATATTGCAATATCCATGTTAAGAAAGGAGTGTTGACTTAATGGGTTACACTTTTGTTTGGGTCACTATATTAACTACTATTCACAGATCATTAAGTAACAGTACTAGCTTAAAGGCTGCATGAACCGGAAGCTGTGGCCTTTTTTTATTATTATTATTATTTATTTGTTTTTTGCGTATTGTGACGCAGTTCCTAGAGAAACAGAATATTAAATGAGAAAACAGTGGATGTGGCTTGAATTTGGCTTAAAGAAATTCAAGGCCTGGAATACCTGGAAAATTGGCTTGTTTTGTTGAAAAGTGCTTAAAATGAACAAGGAGAATTTATATGTAATTTTACGCCGGAAAAATAAAAATGTTTGTGAACTTTTTGTGATAATTTAATGCAAAAATACCCGCACAAACTACCGTGATTACGGAGCAAACTACCATGATTATGGAGCAGTTATTTGACTGACATGAAAAGTGGCCAATCACAGTCCAACTTGTCTAGTTTTGCTTGAAATGTAAAAACAAATGTTTTATTGGAATAACGCTTTTTTAATGTTTTACTATAGAGATGTCTATGTTATTAACTAGAGTAATTAAACCACGGACATACTTCCTGCCATTTCGATGATCTACACACATTTCGCTCTCTTTACTCGCCTCTGACCTGTCACTCTTCTGAAGCCTGGTTTAATACAGTAGAAATGTTGGCGCGAAAATACAACCAGAGCAGGTTATCTTCAGAGAGTGAAGCTGGATTTCTCGCCTGGCGCCGCATCGTGCACCTCCGCTGACTGCGCATGCATCTCGCAAAATGGATGAGGCTTTTATACTTGCTGCGTTCGCCGTTGTGACATTCTTTAAAACGACTTGGGGCGGCGGTCAAAAGAACTGTAAAGACGGATAAACGGAGAAGTAGGAAGTTTCCGGAACTACGTCATATCATTAATATCATTCAATATTTTTAAACTAATTATTTTTATTGTTTTATAAATTATTTTAATGATTATTGGGATTTTTATAACAATTCAAGATTTGTTTTAATCAACCTTTGCTGCATGACTTGCTTTTGTTCATATCTCAAACAGTTTTACCTATTAGTTTATTAAAATACTAATGAGCACAGAACATGGGTTGCTCTACAAATATATTTTATTATGGCAAGAATAAAACCAAAGTACACTTACTAAATAAAATACACAGGCTTTTTTTTAGATTTAGCCCGCTCCACAATTGACACATTACAGTCTGGCTAGTTTTTGTCCTATACTGATGTGCTAAAAAGGCAATAATGGTCCAACATTCCTGCCTATTATCACTAATAAAGCAGGACATCATTTAATTGTAAACAGTTCAACAGTCATGTCAAAGCAGTTAGTAAATCAGCATACTATCATCTCAAAAATATTGCAAAAATCAGATGCTTTGTTTGCAGTGAAGACTTAGAGAATCTTGTTCATGCTTTTATCAGCAGCAGGGTGGATTACTGTAATGGTCTCCTCACTGGCCTTCCCAAAAAGACAGTCAGACAAAT